ACCAATCAATAAAACGTAAGCTAAAAGAAATACTTAACATATCATTTTATACTCTATAGTATTGGTACTCCCCATATAGTATCAATACTACTCTTTTATGGTATTGATACCCCTCCCCGGTACCGATACCATTTTAACATTTGATGTTGCCTGGCATCGATACCCTTAACATGGTATCGATACTACTATACCATGGTACTGATACCTCCTCATTGATATCGATACTCGATGAACAATTATATGAATTTCGCCTTAGGGTATCGATACTTATACAACCAATATTGATACCCCTACCTCAAATACTACTTCTTTTCTCTTTGAAGTATCAATACTAAATGAACAATACCGATACCCCTAGCCAAGAATTTACTTTTCAAACCCGAAAATTCACCAATACTAATCTAAACCTTCTATTTTAAGCTCCTATCATGCCATTAAACTCAACAATCCTTACTTAAATCAACTTATATCCATATAAACCTTCATTATCTTCAGAATCTCGTCCTATATCTTGAAATCAAGAATTCTACCAATTTTTCAACATGTTCTAATTTCAATTCTAACACTTCATATTTCATAATTTAGTTGGCGACAAGTCAATTTTCATTTCAAAACTTATTTACTAACTTTATCTCAATAATTCCTTTAAAAACTCTTTACCTTCAATCTTACATAACTTATTCCTCTTTGAGTTTTAAGCCATCTTAAGTTTTCTTTACTCTTTTCTATCACTCCAAGAATCAAAACTAACTTTAAAATGAAAGAATTAACCAGTTTGAGACCAACTTACCTTACCAATGGAGCCACGAGAAGAGAAGAGGAAGAAAGCCAACCAAGTCTACAGAGTTTTCTTTCATTTCCCCCCTCTCCATGTGTTTATCCTATATAAAGAGAAAATAAAAATTCTTTATTTGGAAAAGACCAGTTTACCCCTTACTCCATCAAATATTTACTGAACAATCCTTCACAAAATATTCCTAATCAAGTCCCTAAACTTTTCAATTTTTTGAAAATAGACCTCAAAGTTTCAAAACTTCCATTTTAGTCACTAGCCCTAATTTTGGGATGTTACATCATGTCACTACTAAATTTTATGGAATTGTAGTTTTCTCACATTTTTAGTGGCTTGTTTTTGGAAGCTAATGATGAGTGGGTTGTAAGCTGATGTTGAATTCTGGAAATGAATACTGCAACATTGTGTTGCTCAATTGTTGACAATTTGTATTCTTCATTTTATGTTGCTTCTTCTCTAAGGAAATTGGAACTTGAAGCTTAACAACCAAGTGTCCATGGTAGAAAATATCTGGGCAGAGCCAAGAGTTTAACAACCTTGTTTTTCTTAACCGGACAAAATAGGGTGTCTTCTTACCCACAAAAGAGTTCAGATTACACTCGAAAGCTCGTAACATAACCGCCTTGCTTCCAGCAAAAAGATTGTCCGAATAAGTGAAGAAGAATGATAGTGAAAATGAAGAAAAAGAGAGAGAGAAAAAAACTCTTGATGAAAAGAAAAAAAACTGGAGAAAGCTTCTTTCAACAAAAAAGTTGTTTAATGTACATTAAATCTAGCTCACAGTTCTACTCACTAAGCTTGCATCATTGTTCAATCAACTCTCAAATCACTAGGTGAGTTTCAAGAAGGAAAGAAGGGTGAAAAAGCAAGGTGAATGAAAGGAAAAAAAAGCACTTTTTTCTTTTGGATGCCATGATAGTTGTTTTTTTCTCCAAAACGATCAAGAACTTAAAGAAGCAGGAAGAATGTTAGAAATAAAGTGTTTGGGTCAGCTTATTGTTTGTTTTAATTTTCTGAGTTTTAATTGTAAGTTTGTTAGTATACTTTAGGTAGTTATTGGGTTGTTATGATATGGGCTATAAATACCAAATATGTGTGATGAGTTGGGTTCATCTTTTTATAATTCATTTCTACTAAAATACGTATTCAGTTTTCTCACTTTATTTTAGTCAAATACTGAACCTTAACAGTTTAGGATTCATCACGATCGGTACATCTTCGGCCACTATGGTTGTTTTCTCACATGCCGGTTGATCAAAGTAGCATTTGTTCTAAACCTTGCCTATTTCTACTATTGTTAAATGTAGATGATGTTTTGCATTACAGAATGTGAGGCCTAGTGCTGAAAACCTGTTAGAGGAGATGGCCATCATTCTAGCATCATGTTGGAAGGAGCACCCAAATGCTCGTTCTAATTTCAATCAAATAGTCCAAATGCTCATAAATCATTGCTTAGTTATTTGTTCTCATGAATGGCGGCTATTCCTCATCTATTTTTTTTCTGTGGAGAACACCATATTGGCCATCATTCTAATTATCACTTTTGTTTCGTTTAGATCACTGGATTTCTTTTTTTTCTCAAAATCATAATTAATGTTTATTTTATATTTTATTTTGACCATTCGTCGTTAAAATATTAACGATGATGCCGACATGTCACCTTCAGATAATATCACGTTATCATTGAAAAATATAAAAAAATACCATGTTAGCGGTTTTGTTAATTTTTAACAATGAGTGACCAAAATAAAACCAAAATGTAACATTATGTATGATTTTAAAAAATAATTGAATAACCAAAACAGAACAAAAGTAATAATCGAGATACTAAACATTTAGTTTAACCTAAAATCTAACCAATTCAGTTGTATTGCCTATACATGGAAATTGTAACAATTATATTTGTTAATCTCTGTAAAGTAGAGAAGAAAGCAACGCAACCTCATACTCAAATATTTTCAGTGAAATAGTTCCAAGAGAGTAGGTATGTGGTCGGGATGGACCAAGGGGCTGGTGGAGACAATCCCTTTCTGAAAATTTAAAATTATCATATATTTTATATTCTTTTTATATAATTTTATTTAAAAATATTTTCGGTCCCCTAGAATTTTAGAAATTTGTCCTTCTAACATAAAATCACACATTCTTCCCTACATGTAATGTAATGCACGTTAACATATGCTAAAGATTCGAGTCTGCTAAAGTTCTGTTAGAGTGACTGATCTGAAATTATATTGATTCCAATTATAGATTTCAAATCTTTTCAAGTAAAATTTGAGAGGATCTGCTTCTCAGGGATCTAAAAAAAGTTAATTGTGAAACTCACTATCAGAAAGAAATTCTGATTCCATTTAATAATGCAGCAGGTGACTTCACAATCTAACTAAATCTTTCCACCGTTGGTTCTTATTCTTTTACCAATATTTTATTCTGCCAGCTCTACATGAACCGGATGCAATCTAATCACTTACGAATAAATAAAGTAGTGTTGCTATAAATGTGCAGCTCCCAGCATTACAGGCATACTCATAACCATATCTGGGAGTATAGATTCGTAGAGACAACAATGAGGAGCTTAGGTTATATTCCCAGACAGAACTCGGGTTGGGACACCACGTCCCAAGATTACCAAGCTCATCTTTCCCGAATGGAACGATTGCCCACCATCATCCCTGGTGCATCTCAGTACCCCAATGTCCACAGGGCCTTCAACAGCAAGGTAGAGTTTTCGGAACAAGATGAGCAATCGGCAAAGTCCCAGAAGAAGGTTCAGGTAGTTGATCCTGCTGATGAAGCCACCGTTAATGCGGAAGGTGATGACTACATCCAGCAGAAACAAAAAGGGTTTGGACTCTGCAAATGGAAGACCTTCAAAATGCACTAGACTTGGGGACTTTTGGAGGAAGCATGTCCATCATCATTTAACCACAGGCCGCGTAACCCTACATATATTTAGTGTGGCTGCTGATACACTAGTTAAATAAAGGACACGTTGTTGTCTTTGAATGCTACCAAAACTTGTCTCTTCTCTTTTCCTTCTTTGAAGTTAACTAAGCTTATAAAGGTGGTTGCTTTGATAGCAGAGTAATTGATCTTAGGTATGCCCTCATATGTATTGGTTTATATATATATAAAACACATATCTAATCAAGACGCTATGGGACTGTTCCAGCTGCCTTCTCAATGCTGTCCCATTGCTAACTATAGGTAACATGAATAGAAGTAATAAAATAAAAAATGGGTAAAGTACACAAATGGTCCTCCGACAATAAGATATTGCTTTGTTGAGTTATTCGGCTATTAGAAGTTACAAAATGGTCCTCCAACTATAGGACGTTGCTTTGTTGAGTCCCTCAACTATTAAAAGTTACAAAATGGTCATCCGACTATTCATTATGCTCCAAACTCGTTCTTTTTCATAAAACGGTTATCCGAGTTAGATGTTAACATGCTGACTGAGGTGTGATAGTCATTTGAGATTATGAGATAAAATTTTATCATATCTCAGCCAAATAAGTTAATATCCAACTCAAATTGCCGTCAATGTTTTAACAGAGAAAGACGAGTTTGAGACATGTGAATAATCGAGTGACTATTTTATAACTTTTAATAGTTAGAAGACTCAATAAAGCATCACCTTATAATCGAAAGACCTTTTTATAACTTTTAATAGTAAGAACTCAACAAAGCAGTACCCTATAATCAGGGACCATTTTACAATTCTTTATCCATAAAAAATCGACACTCAAAATTCATATTAAAATAGAAAAACCTGAACTGAAGCAAATATAATATAAATGGGAAGTGAAAAAATCTAGAAAGAAAAACTAAGCGAACCGAATGGAGGCCTAAAAGCTAAGCCTACCTCACAGTCTAAGCAACGCTGGAAGTAATTACCTAACAACCTTCTTTCCATAGTAAGCCTACAAAAAGTTAGGTGGTTCTAGACGAGTTCGTTCTTCAAATCATAGAACTCATTTGTTAATATATGGTATGAATTTTGATATAATTTAAACAATAATTAGACTAATCTGAATCCACAGATATGAAAATGAAGATTCCAGTTCAAACTTTGTGCTAAAAGAGGACAGATAACCTTCAAAAATAGGTTATGTTTGATATCACACTACCAAAAGGAACTACCATCTCCATGTTTACAGATGCAGGATGACAAATCCAAAGTAAAAAAGAAAAGAAAATCTTATCTTCAGGTGGAATTAATATCAGCTTCATTGAATCTCCTGGAAGACACCCGTTTCAACAGATTTCTAAGGCTATTCTTGCTCTCCTTTCGTCTTGCATGAGCTTTACTTGAATTTTCTTCTGATTCCGAGCCAGCTGCTGAAAGATGGTCATCGAGAACCAGGGAAGTTTCAAGCTTTTTGGCGAGGGTGACAAGCTCGTATGAATCCCACAACGATTGACCAAAGTCCCAAAGTGGAGCATCGGCAATACTAGTGGCACTGTCCTTGTTCTTGAGCTTGACAGATGGGTTGTTCATTGCTTCAAGCTTGAATCTTGAAGGCTTTGCTTTGAAATGTCGTCGTGGGTAAGCGTCAAATTCGTTGGTAGACCTAGCGGTGCCGGAGTGAGAGTGCCAGGCTTGTGCAACTGCTTTGATGATTTGAAGGTCTTTGGTGTTGTCATGTTGAAGAAGCGGCTGCTGGAGCTGCTTCTTCTTCATGGGCGGTGGTGTGTAGGAATTAAGTCATGTTGAAGGGGACAATCCATATTGAATGTCATCCTTGTTGATAAGTTAGAGCCTCACATGCTAGCAGTTGTGTGTGTGTGGATAGAATATTGCTAGATGGTCCTAATTTAGCTACCTATTTTATGTGGTGAACATCCCTTCATATTTACAAAGGATAAAAACTTAGGTTTTTCTAATGAAGGGAATGATAAGCTCCATACGGTGTAATGCAATAGCATGGGCATGCATGCTTGTAGTATGGGAACAAGAATCCTCTGCCCCTTTTATGTTTCCTTTACATGTTCTACAATATATAATTCCACGAATGAATTTTATCAAATTAATAGCAGTTCACGATTAGTTTCTCTGTACTCTTAACTTATCCCTTTTCTTATCATCGGCTTATCATCCCCTAATTTCCACTGTCCCCCGTTTTTCTTCCCCTTTTCTCTTCGTTAAACCAAAATCAGCTATCTTCACATCACCATTACCAAACAAAAGATTATTTTGAAGCTTAACTTCACAGTGAACAAACCCTTTGGCGTGAACGAAGCTTAGTCCTTTAACTATCGATCTAACGTATCTTCTAACTTCGGATTCCATCAAGTTTCCGTCATTTTTCTTCACCTGATCGGCCAAGTTTCCTTTGTTAGCGTACTTGAAGAATAGATTATAAAACCTTTTGTCATTGTCTACAGTTTGATCATCGCCGAAACAACGGATGATTTACGAGAAAAAACCGAGTTTATCAAGCACTTCCTTTGCATTCTTGATGTTGACGAAAACGGGTAAAGAAAACGAAAGAACACGAGAATTTTACGAGGTTCGGCAATGTGCTTACTTCTAGCGCCGCCTAGGCACCGAGGACGTAAGCACATTGCCGAACCTCGTAAAATTCTCGTGTTCTTTCGTTTTCTTTACCCGTTTTCGTCAACAATTGGTATCAGATGTCAGGAGCAAAATACGAAGTCGCGAAATTTGATGGTCAGGGTAACTTCGGATTATGGCAAACGAGGGTGAAGGATCTATTGGCGCAGCAAGGGATCTTGAAGGCTTTGCGATCTAAAAGCGAGGATGTATCACGCAACGCATCTATCGTCTCCAGACGGAATTTGGAGGAAGTTGGAAAGTCAGTTTATGTCCAAATCCTTAACGACAAAACTGTATCTGAAGCAGCGGTTGTATGGGCTGAAGATGCAGGACGATCACGATTTGGCGCAACACGTGAATGTCTTCAATCAAATCATTTCTGATCTGGCTCGGCTTGATGTGAAAATTGAGGATGAAGACATAGCGATGATTCTGTTGTTTTCGTTGCCTTCCTCTTATGAACACATGGTGACTACTCTTACATATGGGAAAGAGACTATCAATGTTGAGGAGATTACTGCAGCCTTGTTGGCTCACAACCAGCGGAAGCAGAATGCAGGGGAAAGCTCTCAAGCCGATAGCTTATATGTCAAGGGTAATCGAGATCGTGGACGGAAGCCAGAGAAGGCAGGGTCCGGGAAGCGGAATTCCAGATCCAAATCCAGGGATAAGAAGATGATTCACTGTTACAAGTGCAAGGAGGCGGGACATATGAAGCGAGACTGTCCGAAGTTGAAAAAGCAGACTGATGAGAAGCGTGATGGCTCATCCAAGTCTGTGAACGTGGTCGAGGATGATAATTCTGATTGCAGTGAGGGTGATATGCTTTCTATTTCAACGACACAATTGACGGATGCTTGGATTCTTGATTCTGGATGTTCTTATCACATCACGCCAAATAGGGAATGGTTTTCGACATACAGGCCGGTTAATTCTGGTTCGGTTTATTTGGGTGATGATCGATGTTGCAATATTGTTGGTATTGGTGATGTCAGAATTAAGATGCACGATGGCTCCGTTCGGACGTTGAGTGGTGTTCGACATATCCCAGACTTGAAGAAGAATTTGATTTCCTTGGGCACTTTGCACAAGAATGGTTTATCCCTAAGGCTGACGAGGATAGGGAAACCATTCGGATTGTTAAAGGAGCATTGACTGTGATGAAAGGCAAGATGACTGCAGGGAATATCTACAGATTGTTAGGGAGTACCGTTGCAGGTGGAGTTCACTCTGTTGGTCCTGTGATGATACGACAAAATTGTGGCATATGCACCTTGCTCATCTTAGTGAACGTGGTATGGCAGAATTACACAAGAGAAACTTGTTGAATGGTGTCAAAAGCTGTAAGCTCGATTTTTGCAAGTATTGTGTTCTTGGTAAACAGACTAAAGTCCGTTTCAAGACTGCGAAGCACACAACTCAAGGGATTCTTGATTATGTGCATTCTGATGTATGGGGGCCTTCCACGACATCGTCTTTGGGTGGATCTAGGTACTATGTTACTTTTATTGATGATTTTTTCACGGAAAGTTTGGGTGTATTTTTTGAAACAGAAATCTGAAGTTTTTGAGAAGTTCAAGCTGTGGAAAGCTGAGGTAGAAAACCAAACAGGACGAAAAATCAAGTGTTTGCGGTCTGACAATGGTACGGAGTACACAGATTCACAGTTCCTACAATTCTGTAAGGAGCATGGGATTCAGAGGCATTTTACAGTGCGCAAGACACCACAACAGAATGGTGTTGCGGAACGAATGAACAGATCGTTGAATGAAAGAGCCAGATGTTTTCGGTTGAATGCGGGGCTTCCCAAACACTTCTGGGCTGAGGCTGTTAACATGGCGTGTTACCTTATCAACAGATAGCCAAGGGCATCGCTGGCTGGGAAAGTTGCAGAAGAGGTATGGACTGGTCATGATGTTAGTTTTGATAACTTACGGATTTTTGGTTGTCCTGCTTATGTGCATGTACCTGCTGATGAGAGATCCAAACTTGATGCAAAATCGAAGGAGTGCATTTTTCTGGGTTACAAGAAAGGTGTCAAAGGATTCAAGTTTTGGGATCCAGTTGCGAAGAAAGTTGTGATTAGTAGAGATGTCGTTTTTGATGAACAGTCTATGTTGCAGCAGAAACAAGACACGACAGTGGTAGATTTCGAGCAGTTTCCAGTTGAGAAACCAGAAACTTCTCAACCTACTTCTGGTGGTTCCACTACGGATGATTTGCAGGATTATAGTCTCGCCAGAGACAGGGTGAGACGGACGAATATAAAGCCTCCGAACAGATTGGGTTTTGAAGACTTGGTATCTTTTGCACTTATTGTTAGCAGTGATGATCCGGTTACTTTTCATGATGCCGTTACTAGTCAGGAAAACGACAAGTGGATGACAGCCATGGTTGAGGAGATGGAGTCTTTGAATCACAATCGCACATGGGAGTTAGTTCCCCTTCCTGAGGGTAAGAAGCCGATTGGTTGCAAATGGGTGTATAAGAAGAAACCAGTAGTAACAAAAAGAGGGGAGAAGTTCAAGGCTCGTTTGGTAGCGAAGGGTTTTTCACAGTAGAAAGGAGTTGATTATGATGAAATCTTTTCTCCTGTGGTCAGGCACACTTCAATCCGAGCAGTACTTGCATTGGTGGCTAGTTGGGATTTGCATTTAGAGCATATGGATGTTAAAACTGCTTTTTTGCATGGTGATTTAGAGGAGCAGATCTACATGCGGCAACCTGAAGGTTTCACTCAACCTGGAAATGAGCATTTAGTTTGCAGATTGAAGAAATCTTTGTACGGGTTGAAACAGTCTCCGAGACAGTGGTATAAACGGTTTGAGTCCTATATGATCAAGATTGGCTACAACCGATGTGAGTATGATTTTTGTGTCTATGTTAAGAGCCTTGATGATGGTTCTTTTATTTTTCTATTACTGTATGTTGATGATATGTTGATTGCTGCGAAGAACATGGATGATGTTATCGGTTTGAAAACTTTATTGAGTCAGGAATTTGATATGAAAGATTTAGGTGCTGCAAAGAAATTCTTGGAATGGAAATTTGCAGGGACAGAGACTCAAGGAAACTGCGGCTATCTCAACGGGGTTATGTTGAGAAAATGCTAGAAAGGTTTGCGATGAGCAGCGCAAAACCAGTTAGCACTCCATTGGCGAATCACTTTAAGCTCTCATCAGAACAGTGCCCCAAGACAGATAAGGAAGCTGAAGATATGGCAAAGGTTCCGTATTCTAATGCTGTTGGCTGCTTGATGTATGCGATGGTATGTACTCGTCCTGATTTAGCTCATGCTGTTAGTCAAGTTTGTAAGTACATGTCTAAACTTGGTAAGCAACATTGGGAAGCAGTCAAGTGGATCTTTCGGTACTTAAAGGGTACTGTGGGACATGGAATTGTTTTTGGGAGTCAGCGGGATAATCCTTTGGTTGTAGGATATGTGGATTCAGACTATGCAGGTGACTTGGATAATAGAAGATCTACGACAGGGTATGTCTTTACTCTTGGTGGAGGGCCTATTTGTTGGAAGTCTATTATTCAATCTATTGTGGCTCTATCTACAACTGAAGCTGAGTACATGGCAGCGGCTGAAGCTGCAAAAGAAGCTTTATGGCTTACTGGTTTAGTGAAGGAGTTGGGTGTTCAACAAGGTGGAGTTCAGTTGCTTTGTGATAATCAAAGTGCTATTCACTTGGCTAAGAATCAGGTGTATCGTGCTAGAACTAAACATATTGATGTAAGGTTCCACAAGATCAGAGAGTTGGTTGCATCTGGAGAGGTTTTGTTTCAGAAGGTACATATATTGATGAGAATGCCGCTGATATGTTCACCAAGCCAGTTACGACAGACAAGTTCAAGCATTGCTTGGACTTGTTGAATGTTTCGAGTTGTTAAAGAAGAAAGGTAACCCAACCCACATTGAAGTTTCCAAGGGGCAGGATATTCGCCAAGGTGGAGATTTGTTAGGTATGGCTCATAAATATACCAGTAAAGAGGACAGGAGATGGAGCGGAGTGAGCGAAGCGAACATCAACTGTCCTTACAAAGAAAGTCTTGTTGTGGGGTTACAAATTATGTGGGTGGGGGGTGCGGGGGCGTAGCCCCCGCGGTACGGTACAGGG